TTTCAGCCCACTTTTACTGAATTCCACTTTTTCATGTGAACAATAATAATGTTTATAGAAATGGGTTGACCTCGTTGTTACAACTTGGTCCTGTTGTCAGGGCGACTTAGTAGAACGCACCTAGTCCGAAGTCGTTTGCCAGCATCAGACAATTGACTTGGTACATTCTCAAACGTTTCGCCGACATCATAGTCGGCAACATCAGTGAGTTTTGCCATTCTCCGCACCAAGCTACGAACTCGTCAAAGAGACTAGTGAAGTGAAGTGTAACCGTTTTCGGCAGACTGTTTGTCGAGGTATTGGCTTCACTTGTCTCTTTGACGAGGTCGTAGCTTCGTGCGGCGAATGGCAAAACTCACTGATGATGTCGACTATGATGCCGGCGAAACGTTTGAGAATGCACCAATTCCACTGTCTGATGCTGGGAGTCATGACAACTACTATGGCAGACGACTTCGGACTAGGTGCGTTCGACATAGTCTCCCGAAAAAACAAGACCAAGTTGCGACAACGAGGTCAACCCATTTCTATAAATCGAAAGGAGACTGCGACCATACCAGACGCCATTACATCTTGGTCTTCATATGTTCAATAATAACGTTATTGAATACATTCGCTTGCACGTAGATTCATTTATTCAAAAGCTAAAGACATTGCTTTAGGCAGCAACAACAGCATCGCCTTATCATTCCGCTTCTATTGTTCTAAATATCTTTTTACTGCTTTTCTTTCCCTAGGTTATCTTGCATATTTTCCTATTAGTTGTGGGCGCCCTCGAAGCTTCAGTAGGCGTTGCCACTGCCATCATCTGCTGTCGGCAAGTATGTCCTATTTCAGGAGGTTCTGCAGCTTCGACTGCCGCTGACTACTTGTTTAACGCTCCCGGACTGACGTTAATTTCGACTTCAGGTGATCTTCTTCTTGCCATGCCTGCTGGTGGTAATGGAGCTTCCTTCGACGCGGACCGGGGCAGAAACGCTGTTGGCCACAGTGACGCCGAAAGAGCCGCCGTCGCAAACGGTAGGACAGAAATACCGACCCGTCTGCCGGCATCGCTACTTCCGCAATTGCATCCTTCGTTGCCTGCCTTTTTACCGCCTTCCGGCCGCAGGTCAGTCCTCCTGACGCAAGCTGATACCGGAGCTCTGGCCGTCGTGGCGGTACAGGCGACTGCCAGTCTGCTATCGGCCAACTACAATGCCGCGCCGGATGCCGGTCGTTCACCGGACGCACCGTCGATTCCAACACCTTCCAGTCGACAGTCCGGTCTTCCGCCGATGCCGCCTCCGCGCTCACCGTCTCCACCGTCAACGACGGCAGTAGCTTCTTCTGAGAATGCTCAACGCCATGCTCAGGAATCTGCACTTGGACCAGCGCCAACAAGCCTTACATCTTGGACTCGTAGGCTCCGACTGCGGCTATTACAGCGTCGTCGGCCCTTGCGTATGTGCCGCCTCCGCCTTGTGGAAAACGGCCCTGCTGTCGTGGTTGTGCCACCGGTTTCGCAAAGTGCCTCGCTGCCCACAGCCCCAACCTCCGATTCCGCCTCTTCCGCAGCCTCGGCCAGTCCCGCAGGCAGTCTTCCGGTCCGTTTGCAAGCCTGCTTGGTCAATGAGATTGCCCGACAAATGATGGGCAATTCGACTGGCGGCAGACGTCGCCGCAGCCGCCGCACTCGACAGCGCTCTTCGCCTTATATCCCGCCTCTTTCAATTTCTTCAGCTTCATCTAACCCCATTTCCGCTGCCTGTGAATCCGGTGGGACACGTCTTCTCGGTCAGCCAGTGGCAGGACTGCAGCGCGCAAGCTTAGTTTATGTGATGCCATCTCCGTCTCTTGAAGAACCGCCGATCATCTTTCCTCCATTTCCGCCTGCCTACCAGCGCGACGATTTTGCCGCGAGCTCAACTACACCTGGATCCGAAGGTCTCGCGAATTCAGTTTCTTCTTCTGCTCTACATTGGTGTCCAACATCATCTTCTGCCCTCTCCACATATTCTGGTGACGACACCGCAACCAGCCATACTGCCTCCAGGAGGACAGGTTTCAGGAGATGGCATTCCGGACTCTGGTTTTCGCAATATCTGCGGTTTCGATTCTTTCGCAGACCCCTGTTCAATCGGAATCGGACGGGGACTCCACTACCGACTCGTTCATCCTTTTGTCATCGGGTGTCTATTTCGAATGCACCTGAAGCCGATTCGGATACTGGTGGTCCCAGTGTATCAAATTGTCAGGGTTCGAGGTCTCGTTCTGTGTCCAACCATCGGATGAGGTCCAGGTCTGCACACCGACGGCCAACCCAACAACCTCTGGTTACTCCGGGCAGCCCTTCGACTGTTGCTGGATGCTCCTCTCGTCAGTTGTTTCCCAGCCGGCCAGCTTGCAGAACTTCGAGTTCGACTACAACCTCGCCAGCTTCCGCCCTGATTGCTGCCGGTGACCGCTTTCTTCAGCCTGTTTATATTCTCGAAGAGTTGGACGACCAAGCTCCTGCTATCGCGCATAACACACCTCCTCCGGCCTACTCGACTCTCGATCGAAACCCTCCAACACATTTACTCAGCAATCCGCTGGGGATAAATGTAATACCAATCTCATCCTCTTCTCCTTCTTCCCCTCCTCCTACTCCTTCTCTTTCTTCGCCTTCAAATCCCCCAGCGTCATTGTTTCCCTCCTCCTCCATCCCTCTTTCTTCTCCTCCTGCTTATATTCAAGTGCAACCGCTATCCACTGCAGCCGCACATAACTCGTCATCTTACTTGAATCTACTTCGCCATGGCTCTCCAAGCCCCTTAGCTCGTCCTCTTACTAGCACTATGCCTCCGTCTTGAGTTAGTATCTCTTCAGCTCTCTCGTCCACAATGGCTATTAGCAGAAAATCGACCTGTTTCATCAGAAACGTTTTGGTAAGTCTTTGGTTTTCTTTTTTTTATTTATTTGATAGCATTTTCCATTAATTAACTTCTAATTTGTGCGTCATAGATAAATTTATTCATACAGCTGTCTTTTTACGGTTTTTAATAGTTCTAATAGGGGGCCAAGGAATAAATTTCATTTGTTAACTCACTATCTTACTTTATGGCTAAGTTAAATAGTTTACGCTTAAGATAATTGATTTCGAAGTTATTCGTCATTTCTGACAAGTTATTATTATAAGCT